CTTCATGCCAAATCTAATTGCTTTCCAGGCACAGGATAACTCTTGTGGGTTTGAAACTTCCCCATAAATTTAAAAATAATAATTATAATGCAATAATAAAGTAATCTCTCTTAGGCTATTTAAAACAAGGTGCACACATTGCATTTCCAGATACTGTTGTAAATATAGGTTATCACTACCAGTAAAGACTTGTTGGAGCTCTTGATCTAGGGAATTTAATTTGTCCATCCCTTTCTTGGATTGAAGCTGATTGCCTTCTATTCCTTAGGTGCTTTCCCATAAATATGTTTAATAATAATACAGAGGAACCTTGAGTGTCATTCGCCCCAAGTTTCAGCCATTTTGAGTTTGGTCTCTCTCTTTTTTTTTTTTTTTTTTTTTTTTTTTTTTTTTTTTTTTTTTTTTTTTTTTTTTGTCTTGAATTTCGAACAGTACCTTGAGTTTTAGCCATCATACTAGACCTGTCTGGCTGCCCGCACCTGCCTGTGCCCACACAAAGCATCCCACGCATGCGTTGTGAGTCAGTCTGGCTTTGTTTCTCTTTGAGTGAACATTACCCTGCGCGTTCATCCAAACATTTCACAATAATCCATTGTTTTTTGTGCTTGTTGAGTGCAACTGCTACATAATTAACCATGGGCGACTGCTACATAATTAACCTGCAAGACCTTCATCTGGAACAATAACAGACCACAGCTGAGGAGCTTGCTTCAGAGGAGCAGGAAGAGGGAGGGAAGGAGGTGCCTTTTCAGAGATTAAGGAGATTTGTGCAATGTGGAGTAGGGTGCAAGCTTTTGCTGAGAAATATCACCCTGAGCAAGCTGAAATAGGCCATCTCTGCAACGTGTTCAGTGACAAAACCGTGTCCCATTTCAGACCAATGCTAAAGAGACGCCAGAAGCAGACACCTCTGGACAGTTTTTTGTGCAACAGGGGTCCAGTGACTCAAGCTGGTCCTAGTGCCATTAAAAATCAAAGAAGGGAAGTAACCCTGGATAAGGACTTGGTACCTAAAGTCTTAATGGAAGAGGATTACCCTTCCTAACAATAATAAGTCCTACTCTCCTCCCTATCTTCCATACACCAACAAAAGTATTCAATAAAGGTATGTAAACATGATTTTAAATGTTTATTTATCTACTTCATCAGTCATTTAAGTACTACACCTACCATCCGACTTATGACCTGCTCGACTTACGACCACTCGACTTACGACCGTGTTTTTTATGCCAAATTTCTGGGAAATAAATAACTATTTGTGTTGTACACAGTGTTTATCCTAAACCTTACAGTATAAAATACAGTACTAACAG